ATATTATATGGCATCTTAAAATAAACAAGTAAATTTAAATACCTAAATTAAAAATTAAATATATTAAAATTTAATTAATATTTTATCTGTTACAAAATATTTATCTTTTTATAAAAATATATATTTATAGTGATAAATGTAAAATGATACATAAAAAATTTTAATATTCGAAATATACTGTTTCAATAGTAAAATTGATATATTTATCGATACGATATTAATAACTTTACTTAGAAGACCAAAATATCAAAAAGTTTCACCGAAGCGTGACCAAAAATACTTTAGTACTGTTTATTAAGTCAACTAGTTGGACTGATTAGTTTAATCAATATACTACTAGAAAAAGGGGCCTTTTTCCACTGATGGGTTTTGTCTTAAAATATAGGAGCCAAATTTTGTCTGAAATTAAATACAAGTTTTTTTAGTGAAAATATTTGACCGAAATAGTTTAGTATGGTCAGTCATGGTTGAATTCAAACAAATGATACGTCTAAATTAATCTATATAATATATATATAGAAGAAAAATAATTAGTGCATATTTAATTTAATATATTTTTTAATATTTATTTGATTTAATCATTAAAATATAATATAAATATAATTAAATTAATCGATTTGTACATTCTTCCTATATAAATGCTACTCTAAGCATTAATTATACATTAAAGTTTGCCATTTTGAAAAAAAAAAAAAAAACTTGGCTAAAAGTTAAAAATATTAATTTTACATTAATATGTATAAATGTACTTATTATTTTATTTTTTTTAGTTTCTTTTCTTCCCTATTTATCTTTATCTTCTCAATTATTTTATCATTATTATTTTTATTACAGATATAATGCATTATACCAAAAGAAAATTAATAAGCGCCAAATTTTTATTTAGGGTAAAAAGAAAAAATTACAACGCATGACAACCATTAAATACATTTTAAAAGTAAAATATAATTATAGGAGGCTAACCTTTAACTTTTACATTAACCTAAAATTAATAATATGTTTATTATATAATTTTAACGGGAACTAGATCTCAACCGGTCCTACTAATCTTTTGTCAAATGAATTATTAAATGGCGCCATTTCAAGTTAAAAGCATAAAATCCCAATTTTGCTCGTCTTCAACTTTCCCCTGTTTCCACTCTCTAGATTTTCACAAAACCCTTAACGTGAATTCCTTCTTTGTGTTCTTCATATTTACACCAATAACCTCATCCCCTTTTCTTCTTTGATTTGCCCTTGTTTCTCTGCATTCGAAAGCCCTCTATTCTAAAACCCTTTCTTGCAAATTCTCCTTCCATCTTCCCGAAGCCATTGCTGCTCAGCCCATTCACCAGAGGCTTGAAGACTATGTCGAAGAAGTTGCCGCAAAAAGTTGGCTACATCAGAGTGAGATCTTAGACAGAGAAACTAGAAGTACTAAAGAAAAAAAAGGTTGCAAACAATGCTACTTTTATGCCACAGCCAAGAACGAAATTAAATGGGTTCATTCGAACCCTCTCTCATAGACTCCGCAAGTAGCCGTGTCCTTCTATTTGTTTCTAAGTTTCTCTCTTGATTTCTCTTAAAAATTTTATTCACTCATGTTCAATGGAATAATAATTATTTGAGAAAGAAATTTTTGGAGTTAAAGTTAAGCAACCAAGGAAATCAGTGAGAAGCCAAAAGTCCTAATTTATAAAAGAAGTTCGAAATTGATTCAATGATTGAAGTTGTGATGCACAAAGTATGAATTTAGCCTTTTAAAGTTAAAGTTATTAATCATTCTCTTCTATTATTTTACATTAAAGTTATTTGTTTTAATTGAATTTGTAGAGACTTGCTACCCTAAATCTTATCTTTGAATTTCTTTCTTTTCCTTTCAATTATAAATGAACAAGCATAAGAAAATTAAGGATTGATGTTTAGGATCCTAAATAGAGAGAAACAATTCGACTTCCATCTCACTCTGATGTAGCCATCTTTTTGCCGGCAACTTCCACGACATAGTTTTCAAGCCTCTAGTGAATGGGTTGATCAGCTATGGTGTCGGAAGGATGGAAGGAGAATTTGCAGGGTTTTAGAATAGAGGGCTTTTGAATGCATAGAAACAGGGGCAAATCAAAGAAGAAAAGGGGATGAAGTTATTGGTGTGAATATGAAGAATACAAAGAAGGAATGCATGCTAAGGGTTTTGTGAAAATCTGGAAAGTGGAAGCAGGGGAAAGTTGAAGACGAGCAAAATTGGGATTTTATGCTTTTAACTTGAAACGACACTGTTTAATAATTCATTCCAACC